CTAGTACTAGAAACATATAGGAATGGATGGCCAGCGAACTGAAGAAGAAAAAGAAGAAGAAGAACAGAGACAAAGTTACGATGGTAATTAGTTACTTGATTCACACGGCATTCATTCTTTGTTGGTCATACATAGTACAAAGCGCAGTTTGATTTCCGGATAGAATTATTGTTAGGAAATTATTGAGAGCAATATTTTTTTTTTTTTTTTTGCCCATGTCCAATTTTTTTTTTTTAGGATCCGCCACTGTTTTTAAACATCTAGATAAGCGTGTAAAACAAACATATCACACTGTGAAAACCATTAACTGTAATTCTGGCATTTGCAGCCAAAAGGTTGGTCCTGAATTAATTATCATGTTACCACACAGTATAGTTAACGTAGATGTCAAAATAATCACATGCAATGCTCTTGAAAATAAGTAAAAAGTGCCTAAAAAAAAGCAATGTGAATTGGACATAAGTTCCGTATGAAAACGTATATTATTATGAATAACTAAAGGATGGAAAATCTGGTAAACTTTTTCGACCTCTCATGCAATTTGAAGCTCATTTCTTTATGTATGATGAATATTTACTAACTTATTGGGATTCCCTTTTTAAACATACATTCATCAAATTCAATGCGGGCTGCAGAATTTCAAGACAGTCGATGGCATGTTTGGTGCAGATTTATAAAAAATAGAATAATGCAATATTAGAAAATTATATGTATCATGATCGTATATGGTTACGAATTACATAATTTTTCAAAAGGGCTAAGGGATTGTAACATTTTGAAAGAAAAAAGTAACTTGGAAATAAAGAATCGAGTAAATTAAAACCCTCGAAATAGAAATTAGAAGTTTTAAACCACAGTTAAAAATAGTAAAATTACATGCCTAATTACTATTAGACCTACATATTCTTCCATTGAACAAATTCACTTTTGCTTTGTATATCTATTAACAATCTTGAAACAATTAACCAACTAAGATTTTTATGTTGCTGGGTTGAACCCTTCAAGTATACAATGCAGGAGGACTGAATTTGATGCACCAATTTTTTATATCCAATTATGAGTAATAAAAAGTTAATCTCATAAGTTTTAGGCTCAAATTTTACTTTTTTAATCAAATCTGTTTTGAGTAAATTTTACTCAAGAAAATGCAAAAAGGGAATCAGATTTTAAGTGGATTGTGATAGAAGTTTTTGAAATGTGTGATTGAAAAGATGTGGAATCTATGAAAGATGTGGTTAATATTGATTGTTTGACTTTAACTTGAATTAAAATCGAATTTTAATTTGGCCCAAACAGACCCTCAATAGTAATAGCGAAGAAAATAGAATATCTCTAGAACAGTAATCTTAAAAATTCATAAAATAATAATAATAATAATAAAATAATCCTAAATTTTATGTGCTCGAACAATGATACATGTCATCATGCACCTGACTCGATGCTTGGTGGGCTCGTAGTTGTTGTTTGAACTAGCTTGTGATGACTAGCAAAGCGGGCCCTCGGCATCCACATCATAAATCATGCCTACGTTCAACTATTCTTAATGTAACTTTGAATGTTATTATTTAGTAAAAAAAATATTTTTAATCATTGCATGTAATTTTTTCCCAATTATTTATAGAAGGCTCATATAAAGTTTAACATAGAGTCCCAAAATGTCAGGGTCGGATCCGATGACCCTCGCCTGACCATTTTTAAAACTAGATAGTCGATTAGATAATCTATTATTCCATTTTCCCATGGATATCCAAAACTTGTAATTTTGTTTCAAATAGATACACGTTGTCTATACCCTGAAATCATAACTTGGAGTTGCATTTTGGAAATCATTTAATTGTTCGAAAATTGGTCTTGTGTCATCTACGTGGGGTAATGAAAATTTTCTACTCAAAGTTTACCAAATTAGAAGTGAAGAAATTTAACGAAGGTTGGTTCTTGAACTGTGGAAATCAGCAATGTAACTAACAATACAATTTGCAAATAAAATTGTTAGATGCTAATTTTTTGTACCTTTATTTATTTGTTATATAATTAGAGAACCCTATTTCAGAATAAACAATATGTAAAATAATTATGGAGTAAAGTACATTTTGCCAACATGCATGTAAGATACTAGTACAAAAGAGGGAGCTATTTGAATATTGTCACTTGAACAGACTGAAAAACAGATAAGAAACAGACTAACTGACTTAGTAGTGTATGTGTGAGTTTTTATTTTATTTTATTTTTTATTTATTTTTCAAACTGTCAACTCATGTATGGACACGTGTCCCTCTTGTTTTTGAGTATGTTTTTGAACCTATTTGTGTAGCATGATTGGAGCTACTTACACGAATGAATTGCTACTTATAATTAGTCTCGCCATTATCTTTGAAAATGATTAGCAATTAATTAACTATCAAATAATCACAAAATTATCTAGATAAAAATATGTATTATGATAGTTCTTCTCATTAATTTACTTCCATGCTCGTGCAATATTTCCCCGGTCTCCCGACTATCTTTTGTGGAAAATTTTTGAAGTCTAGCACGTTTATAAAATATCTGTAAACATCAAAACACTTTTTATTCACAGAGTTCGAAACACCCACAAACACTACTCACTTCTCTATCACTAATTATTTTTATTTATTTATATTTTAAATTGTTTATAAACACTTCGCATACATTCTTGATTTTTGATGTTTTAACCTGCAACTAGCCAACGTAATGTGTTGATGGTGTTCCTGCTCAGTCATAGAATTGGACTTGGAAAAAAGGAATCAACTAATCTCATCAGTCACATAAAGTCGTGAGAGCTGATTCGACTCTAGTAGTTGAGATATATTGGATGATTAACATGATAGAGGGATGTTTTGTTTTTGTTTCGTTTTCAATTTGCATAAGTTGTTTCGTTGGAGTTTTTTCACGAGGTCTAGTGTGGCAAGTCTTTGTGAGTGTGTGTATCTATATAGTCTTGACTTTAATAGTACATTACTAAGCCGATCTCTACTTTCTAGATTTTTTTTTTTTTTTTTTTTTATAAAAAGTT